TAAAGTATTACTGAGTTTTTTTCTTAATTTTCAGGAGTAGCACAGTGTCTGGAATCGTGTCCGGTATATTGCAATAGGCTCACCCCCTATTACATGGAACTCATAACGTAAATAGTGAAATGTGAGTGTTTGTACATACATTGTATAGTGGAATTAGTGACGTAATGTGCACCTCTGCCTATTCCTTCGGGCTTGATGTTATGCTATGTTATGTAATTACTTTAATCAAAGTATTGATACTAAGTATCTTTAATAATCTATAGAAATTCACCACCAAACTGTGGAAGGACTCCAATTTGAAGCAGGAGTAGGAACGGGATGGTTTTTGGTCAGTAAGAGTCGTACACTCCATCCAAGGCGGGATAAGTCATTGGACGATTTTACCCTCTCAAAGAAAAACCTCTCCACTAGCACACCACTGAGCTCGATCTTCAGCTTTTCACATCCAACAAGAACTAAATAAACTTCTTTATATAATCCTAACAACCATTTGACATTTAACGCCAAGGCATTATGAACCCTATTTAAAATGCACTAAGACTTTTTAATCTGCTTAAAAATGTCGGATTCTTCCGTTGACTGCTGCTTATTCTTTTGTTCCTGACTGTGAGTTTTTGTCGTTTGTTTAAAAAGGCTTTGTTCTTGAAGGTTTATAGGGAAAGTGGGTGTATAATGTCCCTGTTCTAGTAGAGGGTATAATAAAGATAACTTGACAAAGAGGAGAAATAAATGATCTTCTTGAATACTGGCTTAAATACTTTCTTTTCTTTTTTTAAAAAAAACGTTGCCCCGCACTAGGATTTTCTCCTGTGTCATGTGTGCGTTTACAAACATACAAGTTCACATACACATCACAATCAGTTGCCCAGCCACCCCACCAACCGTGTCGGTTGAAATGTTGTTATGTCTGTGGTATGTACGTGGCGTGTACTCTGAATTTAGTTCCAACAGTTTCTGTTTTAAAAATAATCAGGATATAGGTTAGTTCTAAATAGGTTTTCCTATTTCTTAAATGTTTTATAGAATAGGAATCTATGTATAAAATCACAGTTTTAGTCTTAAATAATCACGTGATCTCCGAAATAAAAATATCAAAAACTTACATTTCCCTCCATTTATTAAATAACTCAAGTCCAACAACTATTCAAATCAGTATTTGATACCTCCTAAACAACTTTAAAAAGCGACTATAATCTAATAAAAATAAAGTTCTAAAATCTTTAAAACAAAACCACTTCATTCCTGTAATATTAAACAAGACAAGCTATTTCCAAACGGAAACTAAATTAATAAAGACGAGCGAAATATTACTGGGGAAGTCCATTTTAGTAGAGAATTGTTTTAATTTTAATAATCTTTGAAGGTTTCATCAGATAACTGACGTTTGGAAGGCCAGAGGTCGGGCGATGTTATTGGATAAAGTCGGTAAGAATTATAAATAAGTATTAGGTATTTATTTAAAAACTTAAAAAACCTCTCAAATATATTTTGGGCTTTTTTTCTCGTTAAAAATATAATAAATACGCAATACTTATTTAAACCTAGTCTCACAACAAGCTTCTACACCATTTTAATTAAACTAAGCATTTATCGTTATGCAAACTAAACGTGTATACAAAATTACAGCTCAATCGGGTGAAGATACGTCTTTTACTAGCAAGATATCACTTCACACATACATAAACATACATACATACATACATATAATGCAAGTTATATAAAAGCTTATAAAAAGGTGGAGTTTGTAAAATGGTCTACCCTTGAAAAATAAGGATGACAGGGTTCATACCCTGTCATCCCTATTTGACTAGTAATGAATTAGGTAATGACAAAATATTAGACACGTATTATTTTAAATTGTTGTATAATAAAATGATACTTAGATATAACGAATCAAAGTTTAAGAGTGGGGGCTAAAACGTCATTTCTACGTATAAAATGTACATAAAAGTGACGTCACGCGACATTTCAAATCAACATATCATCGAAAGTATTCGTTTCTGTAAAAAAATAAAAAATACGTGTCTAATGATTTAAAAGAATCTACGAGACAAATAAAAATTAGTCATCTACCCTATTATATTACTTTAATATAATGTGTATCAAATAATCAATTTTAATGCGAATGTAAAGGAAATAATTTAAAATTATAACCACAAACGCAATAACAACATAACATAAACACAACGCAATAACAATCATGTACATAATACATAACTGTGCCTAATATACCTCTATACCTAATATAAGATAACGTCTAGACTCAATCGATGCGGCTTCTTGTCAATAACAACTGAACACCGAATCTAGGCTAATAGAACTTTCTCCAACAATCTCAAGTTACTATCAGTCTCCATAACATATTAGTAAGTTTGCCTACTAAAAGTATAATTGTAACACATCTAGAATGGAATTCTGAGACAAGAAAGACTGCCTCGTTGGCCTAATAGTCGCAAGTACGACTGCTGGGCAAGTATTACTGGGTTTTTTTTTAATTCCCAGTAGTAGCATGAAGTCTGGAATTGTGCCCGGTATATGGCAATAGGCTCACCCCCTATAACATAGGACTTAGGACTCATAACATAAATAGTGAACAGTGGGTGTTACATTGTACAGTGACATAATGTGCACGTCTGCCTACCCCTTCGGGGATAAAAGACGTGATGTTATGTTATGTTGTCTTGAATGGAAATTATGTCCTACCCAGCTTCTGTCAGCGGCTTCGTCCGCGTCCATAAGATATAAAGTAACCTATGTATTATTCCAGAACCATAACCTACCCCTATTCCAACCTGCATATGGCCTAGCATCCCTTCCACCTTTTCCTGGTTCTTTACCAGAGTCTGTATTTCCTGAAGGGTATCTATATAACCTAGGTGTCTTCAAGGCCCGAGTAAATAGGTTTCTTATGGGGCCACGTGCTCCATCGTAGACCGCATCATCGCTTATACCATCAGGCGAGATAGTGGTCAAGCGTTGGCCCATCAAATATAAAGAAATCATATTGACGTGTTGAAGTAACCTACATACACACAAACTTAATCATTTAAAGATCAGTTAATGACTCTTTTGCTACATTTACACTCTCGCGCGAGATGTCACGAGGTTGAAGTACATTGCAGTTTTATAACGCGAGAAAGACTACAACTCTTTTAGAATAACAACAATGTATCTCGGCCTCGTCTCGACTCGAGCGAGAGTGTATATGTAGCATTTGAGAAATAGACAGTTATGCAGGCCCACACCCTTCTCTTAACTGTAATTATAAAATAACATTGTGCCTTGCCAACCAACTATTCCAGGTAACTTAGAAACTCAAAATGGTAATTGAGATAGTCCCTTGAAATAGAGATGATATTGACGTAACATAATGCCTTTCATTCCTCGAAGGGTTAATACGTAGCGTATGTGCAAATTGAAGAGACGGATTTTCAAAATGATTTAATAATAGTGATGATGACAGGGTATGAAAATTAAAAATCTAATTAGTCCGTAAGTTAGGTAATGAAAAAATATTAGACACGTATTTTTTTATTTTGTCGTATAATTAAACATAGAAAAATAAAAATAAAATGTACATAGAAGTGACGTCACGCGATATTTCAAATCAATATATCGTCGAAAGTATTCGTTTCTGTAAGAAAATAAAAGATACGTGTCTAATGATTTAAAATAATCTACCAGACGGACATTAAAATAAAAATTAGGCATCTACCCTACTACCCTATTCCTTTATAAACTTCGTTTAAAAAACCGACTTCAACCTTTTCTTTTTTCAGGTCGCTTTCTTCAAAGTTTAACAAACATTTCCCTGAAAACTGCATCGAAATCGTTTCAGCAAATCGAGATATAACCGTGCACAAACATACATAATACATACAAGTCAACCTGAGACCATTCTTATGTTTATTAAGTCTGTTAAAAACGATGAAGGTTTCAATACAAAGTTTTTATGAATCTATATCACAATCGACCACTTTCAACTTAACATTTAAACCTTGTTAATTATACCAGTGGCATTTGACTACCTCATAAAAACCCATAAACAGGCACAATTTAACCTTCAAACACTACGGAATATCGTAAACAAAATCGAGTTAAAATTATTATGTACAAACCGTGTTAATTGTAGTTCATAAAGGGTAATTTCCGAGCCTATTAATTAGTCAATCAGAAGATTACAAACAATTTTAAATCAAAGACCAGTACAGTTCTAACAAGGCCAAAAGAGGTCAAAACAACTAGACATTTGCACTTATCTTTTATCCTTCGCGTGCGTCATATTCGAGGTATGATTTGATTAGATATGACGTCACGAATGACGTCACGGCTCTCAAATACCTTATCAAAGCTAAGCATTATATTGGTGCAATAAAATAACATGTTCTTATCATAAATACATATATGCTTTTATCCCTCGCGTTTGATAAATGTACGCGAAAGGTAGGCTGAATTTTAGGCAGATATTTATAGGTAGACTGTATGTCTAGCTTAGACAATTCTTTTGAAAGGATATGAGGTTCCCTTTGTCTGGTTGCTTTCCGATATATTAAACTTTCAATTTGTAGGTCACGTATAGGTTTATGAGATAAGTTTTTAAATCTTCATATTATTTTTAGTACAGGTACAGCAGCACATCATGTTACTCTACTGTCGAATTTGAGTAAATATGTCATTGTCAGTCGCCATTCGTCCACTGGTGAACAAAGACGTCTATCTTATGAAAGAGTTTACTATAGTCCATACGCTTGGCAAGCTTGGCAACCTCTGAAAGTTTACAGAGTTAGAGCTGACCTATACCTTTTAGGTAAAAGCCCTATACTAATTAAAAAATGATTAAAAAAAGTTATGAGGTTTGATAAGGATAAAAATACTGTATAGTGATAATACAAAAGATTCTAACAGTCGGTAAACGAGCAGATGGATCATCTGACGATATGCAATCGGCGCCACCACACTCGAAACACGAGAGGCGTTACAAATGCGTTACCGGCCTTTTGGGAATTAGGCATTAAGGATTGTAGAAGATTCAGGGATTGGGGAGAGGGTGATTGGGCCTCCGGTAACCTCACTCACACGACAGTTTTCTGTGAGGCCGTGGTATTACTCCGGTCGAGCCGGCCCATTCGTGTCGAAGCATGGCACTCCCACACTCATAAATAAATATGCATTTATAAATTGTCTTGTAAAAGAAATATCAAAGGGCATCACTTCAAAGATTCTTTTGAAATATATATATATATATATATATATATTGCTTATAATAGTCCATATATTCCAGTAAGACTATTGTCACGTATATGTAGTTCTAAATAACTCTTTGTGCCCCCTCCTTTAGATATCAGAATCGGTACAAACGAGATGTTTCGAACGCAATTCTTCTATGTTGCGTTTCAATTTCCTTTTATTGTAGTATTTGTGTAAATAATCTGTTTATTTTTAAAACGGTTATAGACTTAGAATCTATGTTAGTAGTGCTGCCTCCCTGCTAAAGAAATGAACACACAGTTAAGGAATAAACATTGATGATTCTTACTCAAAATGGAGTAGCAATTATTTTTTGAGATATAAGCAGACGGATAACCACCATGGTCGGCGCTGATGGTAAGCCATCAGCGCCGACCATGGATACCCGAAACACCTGAGGAGTTACAAGTGCGTTGGGGAGATTTGGGACGATGGAAATCGAGCCTCCGGTAGGCTCACTGATACGGCAAATCACTACGCAAGCGTTGCTTCACGTTGGTTTTCTGTGAGGCCGTAGTATCTCTCCTGTCGAGCCAGCAAATTTATGCAGAAGCATATCTTTCCCTCACTTAAAATTAAAACTATCGTCTTAATAATGTCCCTATGGCAATAACAATAATAGTTCCATGCAATAAACCCGTAAAACATGACACAGCAGCCAATACCCAAACCACAACGTAAACAGTTTACCGTATAACCATCGAGTTCCGGTCCTAACCGCGGTCGTATACGGCACGGATCCGGTCCGGACGTGTAGTTTCAACGTTGTGTTAGTACAAATAGTCCGTCAAACGGTGACCGCATCACGTATTGCAATGGCGGTCCGTCTGCATAACGATTATGGATTACGTGTTTGATTTTTTCTGTTATTATACTTTTTAAAAACGCAAACATACAATTTCAAATACACATGACTCCCAAACCTGGGACAACAATTATGGATCACTTAAAAGAATTTCTCCGTGAGGGCAACGAACCCCCGATGTCATTCTACTATAACCAATAAGGCTGTAATATTCTGAAATATGTAGAAAACTTCAAGAAACAGTACGATATATTATTATACAAAATCTTATTAAAATACCCAATATACATAGCATGAAGGAAAAAACAAATCTCCCATATTTTCCCTTTATCTCATTAATTCTGTATCAAAACACAAAGATTACATTTACTTTTTTTCCTTTTCAAAATCCACTCGTACTCATTTCTTGTCAAAGTCAGCTAATATTAAACTCAATGGGTAATGGAAATTATACCTTATTCCCAAGCGATACCTCTGTAATTACAATGTAGACGTGTCACCGCTCTCTGCTCTCCTAAAGGGATGACATGTAACATAATGTTATTTAGATTTATGTCCTACAGCGAAGGAAATAAAGTTGATATTTGAAGGGCATCAAAGGTTGTTGTGATATTTTTTTGATTAACACAGGTACTGTGTTAGCATTATATATATACGTAGCATAGTAAATGGAGATATAAAAATGGATATTAATGGATAGGTTATTAGGTTAGGATTAGGTTTTTTTATATATCAAATCTATCTTCTAATATATATAATCTATATAAAAAACTCGATATTACTACAAAAATTAAAATAATTCTCAGTTTAATAAATTTTAGTCCAAATAACTTTAGAAACTCAGTCCCAAAACTAAGCAAACGACTCACATTATTAAAATAAAACATAAAATACAATTTCCGAAAGAACTTCACAAGCTAACACAAAATTTCCTCTGAGAAAAATATACTGAAAAGTCAACGGTAAAAACCTACTACTAAAACACGACGTTTATTCAGTAAAAGAATTTTATAAAAGCTAGCTTTTTCGCTTAATCTAGAATGTTTTGAAGAAGCTCAAAGCTCTTTATGCTGGAGAACGGTTATGACATTGCATAATAAATCATATGATTACCCACTACAACTCGTTAGTCACATCAAAAGCAAGAGACATGAGAAAATAAACTTGATATAAAGTCTTTTTCTGTTAGACATATAAAAATTGAAAGACGTCTGAATAAGTAAAATATTTGAAAGAAAGAAAGAAAGAAAAACAAAAATTAAACATGAAGAAATGTTGAAAAAAATAGTAAAATAGTGTAGACGGCACAAAAAGGCCAAGTGCTCAGCTGAAATGCGGTGATGCCAGAGATTTGAATAAATATGTCGAAAAACTAATGCAGGGTAACTGAGACATCAAGAGTACTTATAGTTTTTGTATAATAACTCTGTCACATATTTGCTTGACTCCAATCAATATAAGACAAAATATGGCCTAGCAAAAAAAGGTAAAAGGGCAATGATCTGGAGAATAGTCAGAACGGGCATGCCACCATTTTCTCTCATCAACTTGAGTAAGGCCTACTGTCCACGATGCATCATTTGACGAATGCATACAACCTACAAATGACGATTTGTGAGTGAATGATGCAACGTTGCCGCGTCGTGGATAGGTTTGCTGTTTGCAAGCAAGATGCAAGCATTTGTCATTTGTAGACTACCTACTATCATTTATAAGCGGCATACATTCGTCAAATGACGCATCATAGACAATACGTGTAAAGGTACTGTTACACATGCTAATTCCTAAAACGAAAACATACTTCAATTGAGGACTTTTAACTTAGTAGCATGTGTGTCGGAATTATGTTCAAAATTAGCATGCTCATTTCAGGCATAAGCATGCCTGAAATGAGCATGCTGATGATGCAAAAATGTTTAAAATTCGAACCGACAAGCGTTCGAATTTTAAACATTTTTGAATATGCTCAACAAAACGAGTGAATAGGTTGCTTATGGGACGACGTGCTCCATCGTAGACCGCATCATGGCTTACCACCAGGCGAGCTAGTGGTCAAACGTCGACCCATCAAATATAAAGACACCTTTAGCTTGCTACTTTAAAGAATGTGTAAAAGAACCTTTAGTTTAATGTCCATCGACAAGTTCCCTAAACTACCAATATCTGTCCTATAAAAACATGAAGTAGATCAGACTCCAATCTCCTTACAATATAGAGGATTTATATTCGTGAGTAAACAAAAGAATAAATTGGGTCCCGCCCACAAAATGGCCTCTTATCTGGCGATAGCGGAGAGCACTTTACATGCGCAGGCTGTGTCAGCCCGTCTCTACAAACTTTGTTAATTTCCAACTTAGACAGGGTTTCAGTTACGAAGGGATGAGAGAAAAACATTAGATTATTCAGCGATCGATGTAGTTTGTTCAATATATATAACATTTTATATACCACCACTATAAATAAAATTGACAGAAGCTTGTTTAATCTACCTATACTTACTTTACAAATATACAGACTGAAGACATCACAGAAAATATGACAAAGCGCAAACAATTATGACGTTCAAGATTTTACTTGCAGATGTCGCTACTGAGCATAATTAGTGCACACAAATATTTTTTTTACAAAAATCATATTCCACATTGCATAACAATTTGCTACCTCGGCTGCTTAGTTTTACAACCTCAGCTAAACTTCATACATAATAAACTAACTAGAAACAAGTTACAAGTACCTACGTAACATACATTTTAATGGGACTACACTAATGATGGAATCCATCTTGTTCTAAAGCAATCATAAAGTTATTTACAAACTTAGTTTAAGCTAAGTGATTATAGTTATGCTAATAATGTTGGGAAAGGTGCCCAACCTTGCCCACGGCGTAACTAGCTTTAATATTGCCATTTGACCTTTTCCGCTGTACATCGCCTGTCAGGCAAACTCAACGTTCAACTTAGCACTAACAGTTGGATTCTGTTTTATTTTTTAGCTAGGATAAATTTTAATTTGTTACTTTTCATGATTTTGTACAACATCACTGCCTCGTTGGCCGTGTGGTCGCAAGTGCCACTGCCGGGCAAGGAGTCTTGGGTTCGATTCCATAAACCGGGCACAATTCCAAACTCCGTGCTACTACTGAGTACTCTTTAAAAACCCAGTAATACTTTGGCGGACCCTGGAGAGCCTTGCCCGGCAATCACACTTTCGACCACTCGGTCAATAAGGCAGTTGTTATTTTTTTTAAACTTAAAAACTACTAGCAATATGAACATTACCTACATTTTCTTTTTACCGGACAGTAGAAAGGGTATTGATTTATGATCTTGCAATAGGTTAGACGCATGCAATATCTCCATTTCAGAGTCTTTGATGTAGAAATTGAAACGACTTACATTTTTCCATTCCATCCAACACTTTCAACATATGAATACGTCAATTTTGGTTAATCATCGGAGGAATAATATCAAAAAAAAATTATAATAACATAATAAAACATAATTTCACGCCTTTTATCCCAGAGAAGTAAGCAGAGGCACATTACGGCACTTAATGCTACTTTACAATGTAACACCCACTTTTCACTATTTATGTTATGAGTCCCATGTAATAGGGGGTGAGCCTATTGCCATATACCGGGCACATTTCCACACTCCGTACTATTACTTAGATTATACTAACGTAGGTGGATATAATAAAAGAAAGTCAAGAAGATAAGCATATAGTACGTTTTAAGGAGCATTTTTTATCTCGTAGATGACGTATTTAGTCCCACACAGTCATATTCACAAGCAATTGTACATTGAGGATCCATTATACACAACAATAGGTCCTCAAATTCACTGGCTCATTTGCTATCATCGTATTTACGCTGTACTTCTACCATTAGGGTGAGTACACTGTAGAGAAGCTGAGCGAGGCGATGAAAGTGATGTCTGTAGGTATTTCTAGAACTTCGGAAAAAGATATGTAATGGTACAAAAAAGAGTTGAGGGAAAAACCTCCACTAGCGTCGCGTTTATGTTGTCTTCCTTTTTTTACGGGTGGAAAATAATCGAATGACTTCTTCCGCCTGGGTGAGGCGGGACGGAGTGTCAGAGTCTTACCGACTAAAAACCACCTCGTTCCTACTCATGCACTTCGAGCCGGAGCCCCGGTAACCCGTTATGTTCTCCGCGGCTCCGTAATGTTGCCTTCCTTGGCGTTCAACGTGTTAAAGATTTAGTTGATTCATGTAACTACAAACGCATTAATTACCATACTGCTGCTGAACAAAGCCTCTTCTCACACGGAGAGGCTTTGAACATTAATCTGCAATAATGGTGTCTGTATAATCTTAGAAAATCACATTGGTAATTGCTGTTGGTAGGTTTCGAACCGGCACCCTCATGCGTGAGAAGTGGGCTGAAAAAATCTTAAAATCTTAAAATGAACCATCCAACCACTCCTAAACCATCTCTTAACTAAAAGTTACTTAGCGTAACATAGCATCTATACTAACTCCTTCCCTGTCCTGTTAGGTATCACTTAGAGGTTGGTGAAAACCAATCGGCTGTGCAATTTCAAAACCTAGTATCTGACAAATCTTAAAAAAATGTGTTTTTGCATTTTTCGACCTTATAAGATAGCAAAAACTCCCAAAAACAAATCAAATTTTGAAATCACTCCCAAGAAGATACGACTAATATTATTGAAGTGGCAAGCTGTCAAAGATATGAAATAATTTTTCGGCTCTTCTGTAAAATTTGGTTTTATGCAGATACTGGGTTTTGATATTTCACAGCCGCAATGTCGTTAAATGTCACTCATTTTACATTAGGGGTTCCTTAAAAATTAGGCAAGGTTGATGGAATTAGAGAAAAGTTGGTCAAATACATGAATAAAAATTTCTTGCTAATAAATTAATGTCTGCTTTACTCGCTCTCCGCTTCCTCTTACATCAGAGTTTCACCCTAAGACAGTTAGCAGGTGTGTCCTCGGATCGTATCGTTATGACGTCACGATTCATATTAAATTACTGTTCCGACCTTGAACGAGCGCGCACTCCGTACCTTCCTTGAGAAAGTTCGCATTCTACACGTCTTTAGTGATTAATTGTATTATAATAGTAAGTTGTAAATGATATGATTATTAATAATTTTGCTGTATTACGTGTACTCATACACGTACTCATATAATTATTATTTCTTTTTTATATTCTTCTATTTTCTATCAATCCTTTTTAATTATATCTCCTTGTTAGAAAGTTAACGTAAGAATAAGATGACTAGATACGTAATGCATTCCAACAGACTCGGCCCAAGAAACTAGTCTATATACATGAGACTAAAAGTGGGTGTAAAACGTCGAGTAAGTATTTAACTTCAAGGTACACAACAACGACCCATTATTTTACTATCCTTACTAATATTATAAATCTGAAAATGAGTTTGTTTGTTTCTTTGTTTGTTCCACCTTCACGCCGTAACTACTCAACCGATTGCTTTGAATTTTTGCAGATGTAAAGTTAGAAGTCCGGATTAAATAATAGGGTACTTTTTAACCCGGAAAAAATTGATATTCCCGAGGAAAAACCAAAGTATTGGTATGGATGGCGCTGTGTGTATTGGTATATGTCACATAGGCTACTCTTTATTCTTTTGTGACGCGAGCGAAGCCGTGGGTAAAAGCTAGTACATATATATTACAGATCCGAAAGTGTGGATGTTTATTCGTTTCATGTCCCATCCCAATTAAGTGTTCTTTTGGTATACATATTTTAGGCCCCTTTTTCCTCTTGCAAAGATCTTACTTAGACTTAATACTTTTATCTCCGAAGGGGTACACAGAAGTGCACATTACGGCACTTAATGCCACTGTACAACGTAATACTCTCTTTTCCACTTTTCACTATTTATATTACGAGTCCCATGTAATAAGGGGTGAGCCTATGCCATATACCGGGCATAATTCCAGACTCCGTGCTACTACAAAGATTTTGTTTTAAAATCCCAGTAATACTTTGCCCGACCCGGGATACAAACTCAAGACCCTTTACCCGGCAGTCGCACCTGCGACCACTCCGCCAACGAGGCAGTAGACTCAATAGTGACCAAAAACTACTTAAATAGACACATTTACATACACTAATAACCTATTACCACGTTTGAAAGCGTTCCCAACCAAGAAGGCCTATATGATAAAGTAACTTAATATCAAGTTCATCAAATATGCACATGTATGAATATGAAATGGTTTCCAGCGATATTGGCCAGGGTTGCCGAAACGAAAATATGTTTTTAAAAATATCTTCACAATTTGAGCCTGGCTGAAAAGGTCAGAGATTGATATACGATAGCCGTGTGCCGAATATGGAATAATGTTCTGGTTTTTACACAGATGCAAACAGTTTATTACATTTCGTTTTGTTTTTTATGCAGGCTATTTTTCAGCTTTATATTCCGTGTAGGTAACTGTTAAATAAATAAACAGTATTTAGTACTCTTTTGAGACTATTCCGCGATTGGTAAACTTAGTAAAAACACCTTTCTTTGCTTACATTATATGGACGTAGGTAAAGCAGCACACATTTTCAAAGTCCCAGCAAAAACACAAACTGATAAACATGATTTTTTAAACTGGGTTGTCTAACTTTCAACCATAGAGATTGTTGTAAACGATCATATAAAATCTTTATACAATAGAAAACTCATTGTTTAATAATAGGTTGTCACGGACTGTCGTTGAGAGAATTGGATATAATCTATACTTCTAGATATACTTACTACTAATTTGTTGGTCTTTTGTTTCAAAGCCCTATTCTTTGAAACCACTGATATTTATTTTTCTGTTGGATCCGCTGCTCAGCTAGCATTGATCGTAGCGTGAACCATCACGCTACGATCTTTCTTAGCTTCAGTAGCTACAATGGTACTAACTTATTAACAGCATGATAATTTATATTACATTTGTATAAATCAGCGTACGTTCAACCCTAATGTTCATACAGCTCATGTAATAATCAGATTACGAAGTCTCGTGGAGCCTTCCGTTCATTATCACTTATGTAACCAACACCTAAGGAACATGTTGTATATAAGGGATTTATTATAAGTACATATTAATAATGTATATAATCCTACTAATATTATACTAAACTTAGCTTATAAACACTTATACCATCGACGCACAAAAAGATTTTAAACCGGTCCTCCGGTAACTTCACATACACGACGAAACACAACGGAAGCGTTGTTTCACGTCGGTTTTCAGAGAGGCCGTGGTATCACTCCGATCGAGCCGGCCCATTCGTGCCGCAGTATGGCTCTTCTTGATTACCAGGTGATTACATTGTCAGTCAGTCATTCAATAACGAAATACTGTTATATATCGTGGGCGTGTTCCAAGTGTCCATGTGCGACGCCGATTGTTTACCGCTTATCCCACAAAATCAAACCTTCTCCGTGCGAGAAGAAGTTTTTGGTCAGCAGTGGCCACTTATAGGCTGTAGATGTTAATGTTAACAAAATATAAAATACATTTATTCTATTCCATAGTAGGTTACTCGCTGAGTGAGCGTAATTATCTTGGATACGCAGAAGGTATAATTAAATTAACTTGAACCTTCCCTGATTAACTAAAGTGAGTTAAATCAATTGTAACGGCTGAGTTCACTAGGATTAAGTTCAGGGATTCTATTAGTAGAAGGATTTTATAATCAGATTTTTTTATTTTAAAGTTTATATTTGTTATGTTAATTCAAATGTTAAATAATTTCGATTAATATTTTAGGTGTAAATACACTTTAAAACCGGCATCAAAATTGATTTGGCCAATCACAAGATAATCTTGGATTATATACAAGGTGTAGTTTTGAAACCGTGGCATTTCTCGGGGGCATGTCACAGAAGTCATAAAGGTTCAATGTAAGAGAAATTTTCGGGCCAATAGTTAAAAATACGGCTATAATAAATCGTTTAAGTTCGACAGTATTTCAGAATAAGCGACAGAAATGTTTCTCAGGCATTGCAGTTTTATGGAATTAAGAATAATATCAATTACGTGTTTGAGTTTGTGTGTGTTAAGCCGTGTTATAAAGCTAGTTACATGATGGCGGCGTGTAGTTCACACTTACGGTTTTCCGTAATTTACAAAAAAACAATATTTACCTACAATTTTTTTTATTCATTGCACTCAGAATTGATAACCGAGTTACCTTCTAGAAAATGACGCGGCTTTAAAACAACACCTTGTATACATATTAAAATATGAATGAAAGTTCGAAATGGACAGAGATCTAATTTCTATGGCCGGTAACAAAACATATAGTCACACAACTAAAAACAAGATGAAGCTAAAATGCTGTCAGTTCTGGGCATCATAGATAAAAAATAATTAATTATATCACTACATATCAAAACCTAAAGAAGTTCTATTACTGTGACTAAGTTAAGTAAACTTTAATTCATTGACTATACCAAAGCGTCAGACTAACAAAACATATTAAATGTCACCAACAAAACAAGACAAATTCTTTGAAATAAACAACCATAGATGACGCACAAGACTTATAAATAAATACCAACATTATCTTATCCCACATAAACTTACCGATTGAATAACAATCAACCTCTTTTATTAACATAATGAATAGAAAAACAGTTTATTTATACTCATTTAGGTATTTGACACACAAATGACGTCACACCTAGGCTAACATATTATGACATGTGGCTTCATTATCATCTAGCTACTCCCACGCAATTTCACTTGCTGCTCAGTTCCTATTGGTCGTAGCGTGATGTTTATTGCCTTAAGTCTTTCTCGATAAATTGCTATCTAACACAGAAAGAATATGTTTTTATAATAACTATCGTGACACATACTAAATTAACTAAAAATCGCGGGTTACTCACGTGAATATACCGAGAAAAGCTCTACTAGTTTCCCAGTATATTCACGTGAGTAACCCGAGATTTTTAGTTAACAAAAAGAATAATTCGACCCAGTATTTCAAGTCTAATCTAACTTTAATCATACAAACAAACAAGTTAACAAACCTTCATGGGATAAAAAGTAGCCTATAATATATTATTCTAGTATCATAATACCCCTATTCTGAATTTCATCCTGATCCATTTAGGTGTTTTGAAGTGATTCAGTAACACACATACGCACAAACTCATATATTAATAGAGATACTGAGAGAAGTGACGACAAATCTAGGCTGATACTATAATAACATGACATATGGTTTTATAATCAATGAGATGAGATGCCACCCACTCGTGTCCTATTTAATCCACCATGAATGGCTTTCTAATGTGGGTGTAACCCATTTATTAATTTTGCTACTTTGTCACCTGTTTGCGTATACTAATCGAGAGAGATTTAAAGGGTTATTTCTTATTTCAGTATTTTTTAATGTAATGCGAGTTTTATGCCGGCGCCAGACATTTGCGAATTTGTTTGTTCACATTGTGTGGCACGGGCATTTATTGCTATTTTTCCGTGCCTGTGCAAAAGTGCGCACATGTCTGGCGCCGGCATTAAAATATTTTTTTTGACGTGTCTTTATCTTGTGTGTTCTTATTATGACGCACATATTTTTTGTTTGATAGAATTGACGTAAATACATACCTACGTTAAACACCTCCGCTTTGCTCTTGAAGAAGAATGGATATGTCACAGTAAGATATATTGGGATAATAAGTGATCAAACATCGGCCCATCAAATATAGAAATAAAATCTATGATAATACGTACCTAGATACATAGATACAAATTAAAAGCCATTTTTTTAACCAGATTATGCTATTCTTAGTATTCAAATTTTATCATATCTGTATCAATCTGCGGATTATTTCATAAAGAAATTAGCTCAGAGAAATCAATTGTATGACAGTTGATTTCTCAATTTTGTAGTTCAAAATTCGTATTACCAAAAATAATTTAAACATTAAACTTATAAAATATTTAGCTAGTATTTCAAGAAGAAACTGTTACGATAACTTTTATAATCATAGCAATGGAGCCTAATTTGACAGGGGAAGAAATTAAGCGGCTACTGTTAAAATATTCATGAAAGTTGAAATTTCGGCCATCTTGGATCCGAGAATTACGGAACAAAATAATTTTGCTAAACGTTTGCTTTGAGATTTTACTAAAATACCTGCTTTGATAGTTATTTGTTTGTATTATTTACATAAATTATGCCTTTTATCCTCGAAGGGGGAGGCAGAGGCACATTACGGCACTTAATGCCACTGTACAATGTAACTCACACTTCATTATGTATGTTATGAGTGCCATGTAAGTGTATTATTTAATCGAGATACTTTTAAGAAGGCTAATCATCAAAATTCTTCTGCCACCTTGGATGAGGCGAGAGGGTGTCTCAGACTCTTAATTAATAACTAAAAACCACCCTGTTCCTGTTCCAGCTTCAAGTCAGAGCCCTGTAACCTGCTTGATCATCTGGAGCTCCAGGTTATTTAATCGACTTACTACCATGAGATCTAGAGATAGTTCTCTTGTTAAAAAAAGTTATCCATTTTTTTTTTTTACTTATACTCCGCAATAACGTTGCATCATCAAGTTGCTTATTTGCGGATTGCAAGACAAAGTGGTAAGTATAGCAAAATAATTACATAAATAAATAATAATAAAACAAACAAAACACACCAACTTCTTAACAGCTAAATGATTAAAATAACATCAATTCTCAACAAAATTTCATAGCTACAAAAAATGAGAATTTCTTAGTACAGAACTCCGTCAAAGTAGAGCATACTCATCTTCATCTATCATGTTGTTAGCAACGTATCATTACTTAAAGTATGTCAAGCCATTTCGCAAAAAAAAGTAATAAGGAAGCCATCTTTACACAATGATTCAAAATACACCTAATGACAAACTTCTCTTTGAAAGGATAATCTGTAAAGAGGTTCCGAAATCAAAAAATTGGAAGTTTGATTAGAATAGTGATTCATATTTCGATTCTTTTTTTGAAATCAACTGTTAGTATTCTACAGTCTACAACATATATCCAGTTTATGCCAGTGATACCAATTGTGCAAAAAGTTTATATACCTCATTATACAAAAAAAATATATCCTATGTGACCAACATTTTTACTAATCCAAAAGGACATTAAAACAATTAGTCATTATCCCTATTGTAATAATAATTGAGGAAAATAAAGAAAAGTAATTTCGTAATTGGAAAATGATCATAATTACATTTAGAAAAATTATCTTTGGAAAGAGGAAAATCTACCTCCAAGGTTATTAATAAATAATATTTTACTGGATCCATTACAGATATCAAAGAAAAAGTCTTGATTGGAAAATAAAGCTCACTAAAACCGATTAACATAAAAAATCTTATGTTTTTTATGGGATAAGTCGGTAAACGAGCTGACGGATCACCTGATGGTAAGCAATCGACGTCGCCCATGGACACCTAAAACACCAAAGCGTTACAAGTGCGTTACCGGCATTTTGGGAATTGGGGATTTAAGGATTGTGGAGGATTCGGGGATTGGGGAGACTGGGGAGGGGAAGTAATTGGGCGTCCGGTAACCTGAATCACATGACGAAACTCAATGCAAGCGTTGTTTCACGTCGGTTTTCTGTGAGGCCGTGGTAGCACTCCGGTCGAGCCAGCCCATTCACACTGAAGCCTGGCTCTCCCAAACATGAATTACATGATTACATTATACCAATCTTACTAAAATAAAGACATTCGGGCAATGAAGTAGCGCGTGACTCGTAGACCCGTAGCACGTAGCCCGTAGCTCGTAGACCCGTAACCCGTAGCAACCGTCAACATTTCCCCGAAAAATTCCGTAGTCGACCCTAATTTGTCGTGGTGTTCTATCGGGCGACGGGATAATATCATTTGGAGGTTATATCATAGGCACAAAGGGCCTTTGTAATACATATGAAAATAACTCTAGATCTATACACATTGTGTGATGTTCGGCTCACAATCGAAGGAGATATGAATCATTAAATTAAACCGTTTTGGTAGACGATAAAGGGAATTTATTTTGGAATTGTTTTGTGAGTGTGTGTGTTAACATTTTAATGTGTTAAATAGGAGTGGAAGATAACTAGATAATATTATAATTGACCGCCCCGTTGGCCATGTTGTTGGTGGCAAGTGCGACTGCCAGGTAAGGGGTCTCGGGTTCGATTCCCAGAACGGGCCAAGTACCACTAGGTTGTTGAAAATAAAATCACAGTAGTAGCACGGAGGCTGGAATTGTGCCCAGAATATGGCAATAGGTTACATGGGACTCAAAACATAAATAGTGAAACGTGGGTGTTCCATTGTACAGTGGTATTAAGTACCATAATGTGCACCT